TTGAAAACGACTTGCAGCTGGGGAGAGAAGGAGACTCCTGGATAGAAGGTGCTACCTCATGTAGCTCATGGCCAAGTCTGTTTTCTCATGGACTCTTTCTCCCTAGGTTCTTCATGGGGGGGAGGAGTGGTCATGGTCCCACTTGATGGGGGAGGGTGCTGAGGCTTAGCGAAAGGTGGTGTCTTGACAGAGGTCCCCATGCTAACAGGAACTCAGCTTCCTTGCTGCGGACCCAGTGCCGGTCCCCACCGCCTCTCAGTGAATTTGCAGGCTCTGCGCTCAGCTGCCTTGACTCCAGAAGGCCACAAAGAACTAACTGCTTCTCTTGTTTTCCTCTCTCGAAAGAGCAGGCAGAAGACTTCCCACCAAAGGATAGGCTGGTGTGGCTGATGCTCTAGGACCTTTAAGGAGATGTTTGGGATTCACGTTTAAGATCTGAAACAAAACCAACAGAAACCCAAATTCTTTGCCATCGAGTCGATTCTGACTCATAGCGACCCTGTGCTATAGGACAGAGTAGAACTGCCCTTGGGATTTCCAAGTCATTCAATCTTTACAGGAGCAGACAGCCTCGTCATTCTTCCACAGAATAGCTGACGGGTTCAAATTTCAGACCTTGCAGTTCGCAACTCGGTGTGGAGCCCATTGCACCACGAGGGGTCCTTCTAAGGTTGAGAGCAGGGGAAAGATGAGGAGGAGGCAGTGGTGGTCTTGTGCGTGGCTGGCTTAGGCCCCCTCCTCTGAGCTACCCTACGCTGAGAGGAGGGAGCGTGTTACGTCATCCTTCTGGCCCCGTCAGTGTGAGTCACTGGGTGTGTTAGGGAGAATCCTTGAAGGCATGCCTCTTTAGGGCAGGGCTGGCAGAAGTAGATGTATGTCTCAGCTGCCCCCTCTGTACCCGTGACAACCATTGCTCATTGACCATGCTCTGTCTTTCGACTGAGCCACAGAGTCCCCTGGAACACAGCAGCTCTGCAGCTCCGACAGTAAGACTGGCCAATGGAGATGGAGCCCTTGGCCTTCCTTTCAGAGGTGTCCTTTCAGGGCAGTGAGCTGTTAGATCTATTGTTGAACAAATGTCTTTTCTTTGGGAGAGTAGGTCATTTGGAGGGTTCCTGAGGATGGCAACAAGATATACAATACCTTAACAAAAATTGCCATCAGATTGATTCCAACCCAGATGTGTCCGAGTAGAACTGGGTCCCTATAAGGTTTTCATGGACGGATTTTTATTTGGGGGAAGTAGATTACCAGGCCTTTCTTCCAAGCTACCTCCCAGTGGACTCAAAGTGCCATCGTTTTGGTAGCAGCCAAGGCCATTCACTGGGTCCACCAACCAGGCTCACCATTTATATCTCAGCAGCCAATTAAATGACAGGAGCCCTGGTGGCACTGTGGCCACAAGGTTGCCAGTTCGAAACTCACCAGCCCCTCCTTGGGAGACATACACGAGGCTCTCTGCCCTTGTAAGGACCCAGGTCTCAACACACCTGCATAGGTGGGTCCAAGCCAGAATTGACTCAAAGTCAGTGCGACTCACTTGGCACTTTTCCCCTCTCTCTATCTGTGAGCAGCCTTTCAAATAAAAATTGGGTGCCCAATTATTACTCATCTCTGTTGATTACAAGGGGCCCTGGTGGTGGAGGGGTTACCAGTTGGGCTACTAACCACAAGATCAGCCGTTCGAAACCACCAGCCACCCTGAGGGAGAAAAACAGGGCTTTCTACTCTCGTGTAGAGTTAGTCTCAGAAACTCACAGGGCAGTTCCTCCGCGCCCTCCAGGGTGGCTAGGAGTCGGCATGGCCTGCATGGCAGTGAGTGAGTTTTATGTACATTGTGACCATCCAACTTTTCCTTTCGAGGCTACGTTCTTTTGTTCCATGCCCCACAATCTGGAAGGGAGATTATAGGAGGGAAGGGGCTTGGAGTTTCTCCTGGCGCACACTGGATCAGTAACTTGGGAAGCTTAGATAGGCTGTCCCCGCTTCTCCCCAGGAACAGCGTCCTCTTTGAGACAGCTGTAGCACACTGGGCGTTAAGGGAAAGCATGTGTCTGCAGTTGGCCTGGCAGCTCTGGCAGGCCACATGTCCCTTGTGACCAGTCCTACTCAGCAGATGACTTGGGCCTGCATGTGTATGAGTTAGGGTTCAAGAACTTCAGAGTGAAGGCATTACTTTGAGCGTCTGTTTAACTTTTCCTCATGTAAACAAGTGGGAGGGAGGGGGAGGAGGATGCTGTGCTGATGGAGCTGGAGCCCTGGGAGCTGGAGGAGCCACGTGGAGACCAACACCAGCACTGAGATGCTTCCACCACCACTGGATCCACAAGACCTTCCACCTACTGGCCTGTGATCTTCCTGCATTCAGCATCATTGCATGTGTTGTGTGAGTCTGAAGAGGAATTTATAGGCTGGTAATGGACATATGGGCTAATCTCAGGCTTATGGACTTGAACTGGACTGGGCTGGGATGGTTTCTTAATATACAATGACTCTTTGATATAAAGTTCTCTCTTACACGCATATGAGTGTCTATGAATTTGTTTCTCTAATCTACCCAGACTAACACAGTGGCCTCTTTTGAAATCCGGAAAAGCAGTTCCCATAATTTTGAGTTGGCCCTTTTGCCTTGAACTTCACTGGTCCAGCAGATCCTGTCAGAAGGCCATGCGATGAAGCTGAGTGCAGGAAGACCCCAGGCCAGTGGGTGGAAAGTCTTGTGGATCCAGTGGTGGTGGAAACATCCCAGTGCTGGCGTGGGTCTCCACGTGGCTCCTCCAGCTCCAAGGCTCTGGCTCCACCAGTGTAGCTCCATGTTCTTGTCAGCAGGAATGTCTCATAAGGAGACAAAGCAAAGAACGTGTCCTGCCTCCGGAAGGAAGACAGGAGTTCTCAGAATCCTTAGGAGAAGGCCATGCCCACACAGAGGTCTCATTGGCTATGACCGGATTGACAGGCCAGGCTCCACCCCTATACCCTGGTTAACAAGTGGACATGCAATCCTGTAACTACCACAGCTATCTTGAGAGATTGTCGCAAAGGACATGGGATGATGGTGAACTGTCCGTTCCCATCCAGCACTCTACTTTTCCTGAGGGTTCTGTGATCCATTGCCAAGGCCACACAGGAGTCACAGACTCTGCTCGTGACCTGGGGGTTTCTTATGGAAGTTAACAGATGACGATGCAGATAAATGCTCAGGGTACCGTTGTTCAGTCAGGACACGCTACAACGTTCTATTAGGGCTGCTCAGAAATGCTCAGAGGGCATGCCACCCGGCTGCAAACATCAACCCCAGCACACTCAAGTCCAGTTCTGTGGGTCAGCAAACCCAGCTCCCCGAATTAAGTGCCCAGAGGCACCGGACTCCACCAGCCAGCCTCCTGCCCTGAAACACTTAACTTTCCTTGCTCCGAGCTCTGCCTCGCGCTCTGGCTCCTGGTTCTGCTGCTGCTGCTCCTCTGGCGTACAAGCCGTTCCTCGGGTCAAGGAGGTTCACTGCACAAGGATCTCAGGGTGCAGAGAAAAGCCATCCTGGCGGGTAATGAGTTCCCCGGCCCTGCTTCTAAGAGGGCTCCCTTTATACTCAGTGGGATTGCAGTCCCTCACAGCTGACTCGGATGATGCGGTCAGCATCTCCCCCCACCTTCTTCGCAGCCCCATCTGGGCAGTCATTTGGTGGGAGTGACAGAGACTAGCGGAGGCCCGAGCAGCCCCAGTAAAGGACTGCGGGCTGATCAGGAAGCAGTTTTCCTGAAATGCTTTTCTCAAAGGCCAGGAAAGCTGCCCGCGGCATGCTTTCCCATCACCTGCTCATTCTTCAAAGGTAGCAGGCGCCCTCTGGCGAGAACACCCCTGGGCAACCTCACCCCAGCCACCCCGCAGCCTGATCTTGCCCCATCAGACTTCTTCTTCTTCCTCCAAGTCAAAGAACATTGGAAAGGAATATGATGGGAGTCCCTCGAAGATGCCCCAAGCTGCCATTTGTCACGTGGGAAATGAGCGTGCAGGGGGAGGGTGAAGCAAACCTCCCCGCGGAAGCAGACTGACCGACCTCGGTGTCACATGGAGAAACGGCAGCCTCGTGTGGGCCCGCCGTTTGCGTTAGTGATGATTTCTGCGACACTGCAGCAATACTTTCTGACTTTCCCGGGTATTTGAGGGGCGTCACGAAGGTCATGGAGCCCCGGTGGCTTAGTGGATTATTCCTTGGGCTGCTAACTGCAAGGTCAGCAGTTCAAAACTCACCTCACCTGATTTACACCCAGGACTAGATTTTTATATCGTTAAATTCTCTCAACATGCCATTTTAAGGGGTCCTGCAAGATTCCAGCAGACAGATAACACCATCGCTGATTGAACTCAGTCTCTTATTAAACGTTTTAATCATTTCCACTTGAGCCCTGGTGGCATAGTGGGTTACAAATTGGACTGCTAACAGCAAAGTTCATGGTTGAAACTCAGCAGCCGCTCCTCAGGAGAAAGATGAGGCTTTCTACTCCTGTAAAGAGTTACAGTCCCAGAAACCCACAACAGTGGTTCTACCCTGTCCTGCAGGGTGGATCTGAGTCTGAGTCCACTCGATGCCAGTGATTTGGGGTCAGCTATCAGTGATGGCTTCGTGTGTTTTCAGAGGGGGAAAGAACAGTAGGCACTAGATTTTTTGTTTTTAAGCTCTGGATGGAGACAGTACTGTTCATCGATACTACTGCTAGTATTTCATGGGTGTGTGGGATGATCTTTTAGGCTAATATCTTCACCGCTGCTCAACTCTAGTGTATGGCTGCATGTGTTGATACTTAAAAATAGAGGCTCTCCTGACGCCGCCGGGCAGTGCTGTGAAGTCAGAGTTTAAAAATAATGGTGGGGCGCTTCACTCGAGTGGGGGACCCATGCTGTCATGTGAAGCCCTGTCAAGTGCGGTTTATTTGATTGGGGCCCTAGTCTTCCTGCCTGGGAGTCCGGCGCCCCCCCAGCTCACTGTCCTTTCCTTCCTGTAGTTGCTGGGCCTTCCAGATGCGGACGACGATGCGTTTGAAGAGTACGGTGCCGATGTGGAAGAGGAGGAGCCGGAGGCAGACCACCCCCAGATGGGGGTCAGTCAGCAGTAACTCTCCTGAGGGGCTTGTACCCGAGGGGAAGAGCAAACCCCCTGGTGCCCTAGGTGGGGTCATCTGCCCATGGGGTCTGACTCCCAGCATCCAAATTAAAATGAATTACCTTTTCAATGACCACAAAATCTCTGTGATGAGCTCGGCTCACAAGTGACCTGAATTTCGCTCCTGCTTCAGTGGGGTTTCTATGGCGTTGTCTCGGCTGCCTCTACCATGTTCAGTCTGGAGCCAGTGTTGTGGCAGACTGTTCTTTCTCGAGTTTATGTTGAGCACCTCACACTCGCTGGCTTGAATGTAGAGAACTCCGAATGTACCAAGGATATATTCCGAGTCCTCACAGGTGACCTTCCTGAGGGAGAGCACGGCGGTGACAAAATGCAGTCCGCACTTTTATGTCCCTTTTAAGTGTCCGTAAGTGAAAGGTTTCACTTACAAAGCATGAGTTCTCATATCCAGTCATTCAACGGCACAAGTGCAAATGCAACGTGGACAGAAAAAGGAGACTCACTTAGCTTTGGGCTAAGGAGGTTAGAGAAGCAGCAGGCGCCTTTTGTTCAAGTGTTCCGCTGCCTCAATTACTAAATTACCTGGAATGGTAGCAACTGATTGGTGGTTACCCCTAAACCTTACCTGTATGTCCGGTGATTTCAAAGCATGCCAAGTCCAAAGCGACTGTAAACGTCAAATCATGGAAAATAAACACCGGGGTGAAGGTCATCAATTCTTTCCTTAAAATGGTTATAAGCTAACCCCCTCCCCCAGGTGAGGTGAATCTTTTCACCTTCTCTCTTTGTAAGGAGATGGCAACTTGTTCAATCATGAAAGCATCCAAATTCCAAGTGCCACTTAAACGAAGCCATAGATACAATGTCGTAGGAAAATGAACCAGGACTTAGGGGAAATGATATATATAGGATGGCATCCTTGACTTCCTGCGTCTCTTTATCTTTTTTTTTCCCTTAAGGCGAGAAAAGGATCTCATTATGTAATTTGTTTTCGATTGTAACCAAGTGCTTCAAAGAACCTAGTTTCCAAGAACCTGGACAGTCGGGAGCCTGTCCTGTAGGTTAGCGTGGTTCAAAGGGAAACCTCCGTCAGAGCACTCGGCCAACTCCCAGAGCGGCCTCTGTCCTGACGGGACGTTGGCGTCACCATCTGTCCATCGGATACTTCCTGGGGAACTCCTAATGCTCCACGGGAATCAGTGGAAACCCTCCTTGTCTTGATCCCTGGCCTGGCTCTGACCCTCCTAACCCTCTAAGGGTGCAGAATGCCTGCTTCGCCCCCTTGACCAGCATCTGGGGTGGGACTGTCTTCACAGGGGCACACATGCCAGCTAGATTGTCAAGAGTTTTGATCGAAGGGTGTGTGGCAGGGGGAGCAGAGGCACTGAGCAAGTGGGAGTCTTGCGCACGTTCCAGGCATGTTGGCGTCCACCGGACGGTCTGTTCTGTTTCAGTGGGAGGAGCTATGAGGAGAGGGCTGCTCCGGTAAACCAGTGTCCACGGTTTTCAGGGACTGACTGGGGACAGTCCGACAGTGGCTTCCATCCATGCTTGATTGCCCAGTTACCCCTTTCCCGAGGAAAGACATTCAAGGTGGTTCTCAAGTGGAAGGGATCTCCTCTGGAGTAGCCTGTTGGCAGAACGCCGTGCCTCACTCTGAGGAGCGAGGAGTGAGTCAGCAGGCTCTGCGTGGCTGCAGGCCTCTATTTCGAGAGCAGAGCTGATTGTGAGCTGTACGCTATGCTGGCGTCCAGCGGTCGGTCCGGTGACCTCCATTCCCACACAACAGGCTGGAGGGATGACTCAGCAGGGGAGGTTCAGACTCCCAACTAGATGCTCCCTTGGAAAGTCAGCTGGAACTTTAGACTCGGTGGCTTAAAAACTTACATCTGCATAGGTTTGGAAGTGGAACGGACATTAATATAACATGTATTTTATCAAAAAAGTGTTTGACTATCACCAAACACATTTCTGTGTTATTATGTTAATGTTCTCTGCTTCTCAAAACCGGGCTCAGAGAGATGTAGCCATTCAGTGGGCTGATAGGAATGCTGGTCTTTGTTCTGCCCCAGAGGCAGGGGAAAAATCTGCAGCATGCTATTTATTTTCATGGCAAAACACCCCGAGGCGTTAGCAAATCCAGATTGTTTCTCTGAAATTCGCCTTTTCTCTGATTGTGTACACTTACCTCTCAGTGGTCTCACTGCACACACACACACACACACACACACACACACACCATTCAAAATACACAGACTCACATCTACATACATCTCACACAGTCAGATACACATACTGTCAAACATACACCACCCCCACGCACAGTCATGCTCATATATTCTCACACACACAGTCACCTACCTCACACATTCACTCACATATATTCTCTCACACATGTACACATCTACGTACACTTCGTGCATACACATTCGGATACACAAGTAATCCTCACACAGAGTCATGCACACACATTCTTACACACACCAATACGTAGAGTCCACATGGGCATACACACACACTCAAACACATTCATGTGCCCTCACACACTCATTCACATGCTCTCACTACCCATGTGCACACCTCTCACTCGTTTGATCACTGGCACACACGGTCTCTCCTGCACATTCACACTCAGGCACTGCACACTCTCTGCCTACACAGGGTACAGGCCGATAGAGCCATGTGCCATGGACACCGGGCAGCTGGGGCTTTAGGTGGGAGCCCCGGTCAGACAAGTTCCTGGTCTTTCATGAGCATAGGGCAGCATGCCTTCTGGGAGGCAGCCTGGAGTCATGGGAGGAACCCTGAACTAGAGGGTGGGAGACAGACCCCCTTTCCAGACCTGACTCTGACATGGACTACATGACCTGGGTCAAGTCACTTGACCGCCCTTTAAAGCAAGGGGGGTGTCTCTGCCTTTCTTTTCAGCTTTACCACGATCCTTCGCTAACTGCCTTAGTGTGTGTGTGTGTGTGTGTAAAGAACCACTGTCAAGGAAATGTCCAGGGGAATGAAAAGGATAGAAGACGTTCCCCTTGATTTGTTTGCGCCCCACCTCCCTTGTGCACCACCGTGTGGGGCTGATGAACTGGTGAGGATGGCTAGACGGAGGGTGGGCTGGGGCTCGTGAGGACGTTCTTGTCCCAGTTGTCCATCCCTCTGGAAGACGGGGGTTTCTGTGTGCCCTGACAGATCAGGGCTTTGGAAGTGGTGGAAGTTAAGCGTCACTGCAAAGGGGAGGTTTTCTGTGAACAACAGCTGCAAGAAAGAGGAGTATTGTCACTTTTTTTTGCCGTGTCGCCCAGCAAGGAGAAAGTGAGCGCTAAAGAGAGCGGGCGAGCAAGGGGAGGAGTGAGCACATGTGCGTGTCTGAAGGAAGGGTGTGATGGCTGGCTGGTTCATCACTGTGGCCCAGCTGCGTGGCCGTGCTGGTGGCAGAGCTGCAGAACCGTGGTCCTGGGTCTGCGTGCATGAAGGCAACACTTTTTTCCTATGGCTGTCTGATTACCCTTCTGACTAGGCGGATTGGGGGGACTCAGAGCGTTTTGGAGCCCCCCCCCTTTGGATTTAGTTACCCTGAGGTACCGCTCATGTCTCATTGACGCCCACCGGATGCCCCTCCCTGCCCTCACACACAACTGGAACCTAAACAGCCCCTCCGTTGGGGGTTCTCCTGGTGTCCAGGTGCCAGAGGGAAGTTCCTAGTAGAAGGGAGTGACGACCCCGCTCTCAGAGTGTCCGACATCTTTCAGGTGTAGACAGAAACCATTCTGTAGCACAATTTCATCTCACAAAGGTGGCTTGTTTCATAAGAGCACAAAGTGTACAGACCTAGGGGAACTGGGATACCAGGACGCTGTTGGGATTGACCTTCTGGGAATCTGCCTGGCACAGAGCATTCCCAGATCGTCGGGAACTGCTTACGGTAGGAAGCCGGCACCTGCAGGCCTGTCTAAGGGGCAGACTTGGATGAGACAGGCCTCCTTAGGGATGTGCCAAGAGGAGTAAGGTGACAGGTGAACTAGGTTCTCACTGGAAAAGACCAGCTGAGGCTGAGTTCACGGCCATCTCCCCCGAGGTCTGCGCTCCTCAAAGGGAGAACTGGGTGCCCAGAAGCGCATTGATGGTGTGGCTTTGAAAGTGACCCCACCCCTACCCCCTGCAGGAGAGGATGGGCTTTCTGCAAATGGGTGGAGCTCTTTTTCTCCAAGAAGCTGCCAGTGTGCAGAGCCCGTCTTTACAAAGTGCTAACAGGTCTCAGTCCCCGGGCAGGTGGAGCAGGTACCAAATTCACGTCTTGCTGCCAGCAGCAGCCAGAGCCCCCCTCCTCCTAGCTTGCTTTCAGGCTAGTGGGAGAGCACACTTCAGCCTGCAGGTCCCCCCGCTCACGGTCCTGAGTGTTGATCCCCAAGAGCTGCCACGGCCCGTTCTTCAGAATACCAGAGAAGCCTAAACGTTTTAACGCGAAAGGAATCCTCTTTCCCCCAAAACTCCATTGCATGCAGTGGTCTTGTGATAGCCGGTGTAACCCGAAGGCGGAAGGGTTTCAGATTGTGTCCACAGTGATCTCTCCTCCTTAGCAGAAGGCCGGTCGCATGCCTCAGGCTGAAGGAAAAGCTCTGTCGTGCGGCTGCTTGTTGGACAGACGGTCACAGAAGATGATGCCCCTCATGTTCTCCTTAAATTCGGATGATCGAAGTCGAGGGTCTATGAGCATGCCATGCGCAACACCCCGCTTAAAACCCTGTCAAGCAGATGGGGGACAAACAGTTAACACTGCGGCCAGGCCACGTAAAAACCACTGATTCATTTGCTTAAAAATGTACCGGGTACCACAGAGCAAGCCACAGTGTGTGCTTTGTACAACTGCGTTTCCCTGGGTTTGGGGTTTGGTTTGGCTTTGCCTTAAAGATGCATTGTTATTCAGTGCCCTCTGATATCCAGGCAGATCCAGCTGAGAGCCAGGCTGCCTCCAGTGTTTCAGAGAAAGTCAGCCTTCAGGATGGGGTGGGGGTGGAAATCCGAATCCCTTTGTGATCCAGCTCTCACTTGTGGATGGGAGCAACATGCAGCCATCGATGTGAGAGGCAACACCAAGGAACGTTTGTTTTTTTCCGCCCCCCACCCCCCAGGCAAGAAATGTTTCATGTCAAGTTTGTGTGCTTTCTCTGCCTTTCTATAGTTCCTTTCAAAGAAATCTCCTGTACATGCCAAAACTGTGAAATGGAATGGGTTGCCAAAAACTGTTGCCCTTCGTTAGATGCTTCAAACTAAATCCCATCCTGAACCCTGCCCACGTCTGCACCCTCCCCCCTCCCCCAAGGGCGAGGGTCTCATCCAGTGTAATTACCATCCGCTTGCTATTAAAGAGCCTTCCGAACTCTCTGGACCCCTGCCTCTTTCTTACCCCTCCACAGGAGCTGGTTCAGAAGGGTGTCTAAGATGATGGATAACCGAGAGGAATAAGGACTGCCAAGGGGCTTCATTGTTTTTGCTTGGGGTAGGGGGGCCACGGGGGCGGGGGGTATCAGGGGAGGAGGCAATTCCATAAGCGATGGCTAGATTCAAGTGTGAATAATTGATGTGATGGGGGTGGGGCATGGACACATCTATTCTGATGCCATCTGTGGCGTGTAGTCCATCTCCTTTGAACTCACATGCTTTCATTTTGCACAGGAGAACCCCAGGCCCCTGGGTAGCACACACGGTGGGTGCTTGGCTTCTGCTCATCAAGAGTGTTGATTTGAACCCACCGCAGAAGAAAGCCCCGTACCTTTTCAACGAGGCAGCTGGGAGGCCTGCTCTCCTGCTCTGGAACACACGGTGTCCCCATGAGTTGGGACTGTTATGGCAATAGGTTTGGTTTGGAGGGTTTTTTGGGGGGTGTTCTTTAGGAAGCAGTCAGTGGGTGGCACACATGGGTAAGCCTTTAGCTCCGAGCCAAAAGGTTTGTGGTTCCAGTCCAGCCAGAGACACTTCAGGAGAGACCAAGGGAACATCCTTAGGTTCAAAACCGCTGAGATCCCCCGGGGAGCACAGTTCTCTGACATCCACGCGCAGAGTTACCATGAGTCGGAATTGACAGTTCTGGGAGTCCTTTGTGGTTCCAATTCGAATCAATGCCTTGTCGTCCTATGGATGATGGCATCTGTTTCCCCACTACTTTCCTTAAGAACAACACGAAGCTCCATGCACGGAGTCCATTCACTTGCAGTGACCCTGTAGGACGGAGTAAGCCTATCCCGTGATCTCTAAGACTGTAACTCTTAAAGGAAGTAGCAAGTGTCCTCTTTCTCATGAGCAGCTAGGGCTTTCGAACTGCTGACCGTATGGTTAACAAGCCAATGTGCAACCCACGATGCTACCATCCTCCCTCCTACGTCCCTCGGATATGGTTCGTGACTTTAAAAAATAGCATTTAAAGAAATAGCTGGAAGTGTTTCATTAGTTTAAGAGCCAGTTTATCCTGATAAATGGCTCTCTACCAATTATTTAAATGAGGGTTTAGAGTTTGGTTTCCTGGGCACAGCAGAGAGACTCGTGTGTACCCTGTAGGGAAATTAATTGTGGTTGCTTTCAGCACGGCTGTCGTCAAGAGAATGCACTGAGGTGGTGGACTGTGTGTCCCCTTTCCAGACCTCCCTCGGGGTGAGGGAGACTGGCTACAGGGGGTGGCATTCTGGTCCCCAGGCAGAGCCCCCCCAGGCTGTTGCCTTTATTGTGGTCAGTTGGGCATTCTCATAGGTTTATCTTTTTAAATGCAGTTTGGCATTTGAATCCCTTGCCACCTAATCAATTCCAACTCCTAGCAACCCAAAAGGACAGAGTAGGACAGCTTCTTAGGTGTTTCCAAGGAGATATATATATATATATCTTATATATATGTAAGTTGTTGACATTTAATTCACATATACAGTTCAACAATTCAACCAGATTTAAATGAGTCATACAATCATTGCCACAAGTTTAGAACATTCTCTTTGAGGACTCATGAACTCTCCATCATAAGAAAGCAGGAAATATTAAAAACTAGAACCAATTGAAAATGGGTCAAAGGGGACATCAGATGATAAGGTGCTCAATTCCAACCTAATCGGGTCTTCAGTAATCTACCTTCCAATGCCCTGTCTGCTGGCACGGCTCATCACGCCCGTGCTCTGGGTCAGGGGGCACTCGCTGGAGGCTTCATCCATGTGGGCGCTCTAGAAATGGGTTTGGAGCAAGGCTGTATGTTTCTACAGGAGCAGACAACGTCATCTTGGGCCCCAGAGTCGTTGATGCACTTGGACCTCGTTCGCTCAATCCCCTGTGCTACCAGAGCTTTCCTTTGCGTTCAGGGCGTCTTAGAAATACCCTCAGCTCTCCAGGGACCGTCTCCGAGAGCACACGTGCCTTTCAGCCACGTCCCCTCAGCTCCCCAGCACCGTTCCCTCCTCTGTGTACACTCGGGCCTCACCCTGCCGCAGGTTCCCCTGCATTGGCTTTATGGGGGTGTGGGTCCTCTTTAGGATGGAAAGCCACGTTTCTGAGGGAAATCCTGTTTCACTAAACCAGAGCAATGGCTGTTGGCAAAACTGTTATTGTTTCTATTACAAGCCTCTCTTCTATTTTAAAAATGAAGTAAAGGCCCCAGCTGATCTCCATTTCCCCCAAACACCACATTTTAAAATGCATTTGCGGGCGTCAATGTCTATTTCTCTCCTCCTGTAAACTTCACTTACTGTGGGTGTCGACTTTATGGGACTTGAAACTCAAGCCCAAAGTATTTACTGGTGGATCAACTGTTCAGCTGACACGCTGTCAATACCCATTCAAGTAAAGAGGAGCAAATGCAGTTTCTATGGTTTAGTTTCTGAGCACTGGGCCTCTCAGCTACCTGGTGGGAAGAAAGACGGGGCTGTGTACTCCCACGGAATCACAGTCTCAGAATATCACTGGGCAGTTGTCCTTTAGGATCGCTATGAGCTGGCATTGACTCAGTGGCAGTGAGTTTGGTTTGGTTTTAATGATCTGGTACCGCTAGAACAGAAATCAAAGGGGTGGCTTTAACAAACAGATTTATTTTCTCACAGTTCAGGAAGCTAGAAGTCTGGATTCGGGTGTGGCTCCAGGGGAAGGCTTTCTTTCCAGGTCAGCTCTGGAGGGGGGGTCCCTGCTCCTGCGATCTTCTTTTGTGGCCTTCCCCCTCCCCAGCTGTGCTTTGGAGCCTGCTGGTTTAAAGCACTTTTTAGATATCCCGAGAGATCGGTTGAAGTCACACTACACCAAGGCTGTCTCAAGTACATAATACAGACAATGCATTCCCCAATGGGATTGATGACAGTCACAGGCATAGAGGTTACGATGGAGGACACATTTTGTGTGTGTGTGTGGGGGGGGGGGGATGGCAATTCAGTCCCTAACACCAGAGGACTACTAAACTCCATCCATGACTTCTTGGCTGTGGCTTACCCCGTTAGTGCACATTGAACAAGAAACGTAACAGCTGGGACTATTCTCATACACAGAAGCGGGACATGGACGAAAATAAAGGAGAAGGAAATTGAACTCAGCGCGATGGTTACCTGTACTAGTGGAGGATGGGTGAATGAGGCCAGAATTCACTTCTGGAAATGCCACGAGGCAGGCATGGTGGAGGCATGAACATGCTATGCCAGAACGGTTGCACTGAATCTCATTGCTGTGCACAACATGGGAGCTTTGGTGGCATAGTGGCCACAAACCGCAAAGTCAACAGTTCAAAACCACCAGCTCCTCTCTGGGAGAACGAGGAGGCTTTCTCCTCACGTCAAGAGTGACAGTCTTGGAAGCCCTCAGCGGCAGGTGCACCCTGTCCCATAGAGTCCCCAGGATGGGGCATCGACCTGATGGCAGTGATTATGGGTATGGGGTGCATTCTGGGGGCGGGGCATGCTCTGTTCATGGGCAGACTGTTTGCAGAAGCACATTTTTCAAGAGCAGCAGTAGATTTCCATGAGCCCAAATGCAGTCGTTCCTGCACTTGTCCTTGTGGTCAGTGATACAGGGTTAAAAAGTCACAGCAAAATAGGATGGCTGGGCATTTCGCTGAGGGACGTAAGGAGAAGCCTCCTTTCCTTCTGAACTTGCCTCTTCCGGGTAGCAGAGTCAGCTGGGTAGGACGTGCCTGGGCTGAATGAAAACCTATCGAGCAGAGCACAAGGCACTACCAGGGTCTGACCCTTGCAGCAGGGCCATGCGTGGGCAGGAGTGGCGGGGATTTTCTTTGCCCAGTGTGCTCCTAATGTGAGTGGACAGCCCTCGCATTGGACAAACCAGACCATCGGCAACTCTGGACATAAATCCTGGAATTGTGTACCCAGCTTGCCCTGAAGGAGCCCTGGTGGTATGGGTGTTGAACTAACAACCGCCAGGTCTTCGATGCAACATCACCAGCTGCTCTGTAGGAAAAGATGAGGCTGTCGCCTCCTGCCATGAGTTAAAAGTCTCCGAAGTCCAAAAAAAGACAGCCCTTCTCTGTCCCAGGGGGTCATTATGAGTCGGAATCAGCATTGATGGCAGGGAGTTTGGTGAGGTTGCTTGGTGTGCTTCTGTAGTATTCACCCAGGCAAAGGAGCCCTGGTGCCTAGTGGTTATGCACTGGGCTGCTAAATTCAAGGTCAGCAGTTTGAAACCACCAGCCGCTCAGAAGGAGAAAAACCTGGCTTTCGACTCCTGTGGAGTTAGTCTCAGAAACCACAGGGGCTGTCCTACCCTGTCCTATAGGGACGTTTGGAGTCTGAATCAACTCGATGGCGAGGGCACAGAGGTTTGGAGAGAGGCGGTAAATAATTTATGAATACTTTGAACCACCCTCTTTTCTGCTTCCACCTTTTGGAGAAGAATCAACCATGGAACTTAATAAACTATGGACAGGCTGTTGCAAGTAAGCAGTTGAAGAATAAAACGGGCGTCGCCCAAGAAGCATTTTTGAAGTAGCAGAAAGATCGTCTCACCCTTGTATTCTCTAGAAAAGACGCCGCAAGGCTGTTGGTCGGGACGCAGGCAGTAAATTAAGTAGGTCCTTCGGGATGCTTTTTAATTGGGAGCCTCTAGAGGTCAGCAGCGCATAAAGAAAGGGCTCCTGGTTCACGGAGGGAGGCTAGCCGCAGCTGGCTCCCCAGCACAGCTTGGGGAACCAGAGCCGCAGCTTCCAGAGCGCGAGGAGAGGGGCTCGCAGTTCCTGGTGCACAGGGTGGAAGACGGGGAGTCCTTCCCCTTACACCCAACTGCCTCCTCTTTGGCTCCGGTTGATTCCCCCCACTTCTCATCTCTTTCTCTGCCGCGCACCGGCTGCTCAATAAACACGACTTAGCGACCGACCGATGAGGCGCGGCATTTCACTCACTGTCAGATGGGCGCAGG